TGTCCCTGCTCCACGGCACAGCCGGGGCCGCCACGGGCTGCTCCACGTGTGGCACCCAGCGGGGCGGGGGGCATCGGCCAGGGCACGCCTCTGGAGGAGAGCAGGGCTGGTGGGTGCAGTGGGGGTCAGTGGTGACCCCTGCAAAGCCACACAGAGGTGCTGGTGTCACAGTGCTCAGCCACCCTCGCCATTGCACCAGTCCCTGCCATGCCCAGGGACACGACCCCAAGGGGACCCCAAGCCCCGAGAGTCCCCGCTGGCCCTGCAGGGCTGCTCCCCACTGCCCACGGGGACACTCATGTGCCCAGTTACCTCCCCCACCTCGATGGCAGCCCCATGGCCACCCGGAGGAGAGAAAAGATGGGTCCCAAGGTCTCTTGTTTCCAGTAGGTCCCAGTGCCAAGCAGGGAGGCAGCTGTGGCCCCAGGGCAGGGACTGCTCTCTGTGTTCTGGTGTCTGCTCTACCTGAGGCCACCGGAGTGCTGTGGAGTGCACCGGGGGGTGCTTCACACCCTGGGGGTGCTCCAAGTGCTGGCACTGCCCCTTATCCCACTCCTGCCTCAACCTGTCTCAGATGTGCCTTGGGGCTGAGCCCTGCCTGTGATGCAGCACCCCTCACACCTGGATGACAGGGCAGTGAGCAAGTGCCCTTAACATGTCCCTGGCAGGTCCCTGGCACATCCCCAACACGTCCCCAGCATGTCCTGTCTGCAGGCACAGCACTGACACACACCCTCAGCCCCGGCTCACACGCCTGGGCAGGGAGACGCAGACAATGCCAGCAGCCCCGACCTCGGGGGCAGCCAGTGCCACCCTGGCAGCCACCATCAGCAATGACACCCCGTCTCCCAAGGGACAGTCACCCACAGCCTGTCCCCGGGCACACGGGCACTGTCACCCAAGGCTGGCTCCTCTCCCCGCCAGCTTGGAGCCAGCGAAACACCGATGGCAGCACCAGGGCAGGTCAAGCATCAGCCCTCAGTGCCCCACCACTGCCCACAGCATCGCTTCGGGGACAGGCCTCTGGGGACAGGCTGGAGCAGGGCAGGAGAGGCACAGGTAGCAGGGCAGCTGGGAGGGCACAGCCAGGTGCCCGTGGTGGGTGCCAGGCAGAAGGAAGGGGCATCCAGCCCCCC